TGTGATTTTGCTTGGCTATACTGTTGTTCCTTTCCTGTTCTGTCGTGCTGCAGCAGAGGGTTAAGGCAGTCCTGTTTTATCTCCAAACACGACTGCACTCTGTACTGTATTTCTCTTGCCTGCTTGATGAAAATTTGTGAGACCCAAGCTATGCTTTGACACCTTTGGAAGACACATACAAGTATCCTGCCATGGCAGAGCCCTACAGAAATGGATCAGAAATCGGATGACTTGACTTTTATTCCCGAGCTCCATCACTGATGCCTGTGCAGCCATGGCAGATACCCCCCAGAAGGCAACTTTCAGAGGTCAGGAGTACCTAAGGTTCTTCACTCATTGGATGTGAAACCACTGACAGCTGCATCTGTGATCTGCCTAGGTCCTCTTCCTCACTCGTCGTGTCAATAACTGAAAAACCAAAGTTTTACCCTAGAGAGCTGCAGAAGAAATGCTTACAGTGGTACTTAGTAGAAGCAATGGCTTCACGAGAAATAGGGAATGTGCTGGTTTTACTAGGAAAAGGAAAATGAAAAAAAATCCTTTCCCCAAGCAGTTACCCAAGCAGCTTCTGGGTGCCAGGGCATATAAACCGCTGTAGTGTCATTAGTGTGTCACAGGGTTCTTGTCCGGGCCGTCAGTGTGAGTGTTAATCATCTGCAGAGCAACGATGGTCTGTCCGCAGGGGCACAGACGCGTAGGAGCGCCCGTGCTCGGAGCAGGCGTGGGGAGGGTCTGTCGCTGACGGTGGCCACAACCAGTTGTTGCTGGGGGAAAACCCAAACTCACCCACATTTTTTCCTGAGAAACACCACCCTGTGCAGGTGGAGAATAAGCTACTACCCCTCAAAGGATTTCTTTAAAAACGTTGGGTTTGTTTTTATTTAATCCTTGTTTTTACACCTGGAAGCATGAGATTTTCTGGGGTTTTTTCCCATATCCTTGCAGAGATTCAGAAAGATGCTCTGGGTGGATATCCAAGTTCTGGAATTGTTCGGTCCCTCTCTGCATCCTGCCCGGTATCTGCTGGATATTTTTGCCAGAGATACAGCAATGCAGATCAGGCAGCAGGATGCAACTGCAGTGTGTATCCCTGGTGCAGACACGGACAGGAATAAATAGCTGCACTGATGCTGCTGGCCAGGACAAAAGAATTTAAGTATTTAACTAG